TACAAATGACACAGTTGTTTTCTCTTTTCCTGTTGTATGCATCTTAAAGGATTCAGCAGTGACATCTCAATAGAGAGAATAAAGTCAACTGCTTTTGTAGTTTCTTCCTTGTTTATGTGCTATAGTTGCTAGTTGCTAGCAGTTTACCTCTTGCTCATTTGACCGTAGCTAGGATGCCATATGGAAAAATATTGACTTCAAGTAAGTGAAATGTTGTCCTGGTTTTGTTAAGATTATATATGAGAAACTATACCACATCAAACTAAGCCCTAATCCCAAACAAGTTGAGATTTTTTAGGTTCAGTTGGTGCTTTTGGCAAGTACAAATGACACAGTTGTTTTCTCTTTTCTTGTTGTATGCCTCTTAAAGGATTCAGCAGTGACATATCAATAGAGAGAATAAAGTCAACTGCTTTTGTAGTTCTCTTCCTTGTTTATGTGCTATAGTTGCTAGTTGCTACCAGTTTACCTTTTGCTCATTTGACAGTAGCTAGGATGCTATATGGAAAAATATTGACTTTAAGTGAATTGTTGTCCTGGTTTTGTTAAGATTATATATGAGAAACTATACAGCAACAACTAAGCCTTAATCCCAAACAAGTTGACATCGGCTACATGAATCTTCAATGACCATGTTTCTCCATTTAGGCTCCACTCATGTCATCATCTTGCCAAAAAAAATAAAGGTGAATTAAGTTTAACATATATAAACAGTAATTATAATAATAATAATAACAAATATTAAAATTTCTCTATGTTTAATTGGTATATAAATACATGATAACGTGAAAATACTCTGAAAGACAATATATTCATAGGTTCTATGTACTTCAATTTGGAACAAGTAAAGAAGAATACTTTCCTCCTCTTTGTCTTCGAAAGAAAATGATTAATTGAGCTAGAGCTTGTTCATCCTTTAATTTTGGTCTCTAGTCTGGAAAAAAGTGGAGCCTCAGATGCAAGTCTTGACTGTTCTGTGGTTAATAGAGTGTAAGTTCATTGAGATTTTGTGCTTCCTTTCAAGGATCAGATGCCTGATCTGTATGAATTCATAAGAAAACTGTGGCTCCTTGATAGTTTTATTTCACTTTTGGCACTAAGGGTTCGACTTTTTTAAAAATTTATCCTTTTGTAGTCAATATGTTTTGTTGCTTTTCTTTTTTCAGTTGGTATTTCGAATAATATTGTCTGGTGTTGCCAAAAGTCATTTTTTTCCTGATAAAGCAAAATATCATTGGAGTGTTTTTGCCATTCAAACTTGATTTGTTTTCTAGTGACCTACATATTTTCCAAAAAAAAGCACCAATCATTCAACTAAGTATCTCTAGTATTTTAAACACCCAACTTACTTCAGTACAAGCAATATACCCCACAAAATTATTGTATAATGAGTTAAAAGCGATACATCCTCATGGTATAACAGCAATACTTAAGTAGTTAATTCACTCTGGTCTTGGTCAAATGCTTGGCAAGCTAGTTTTCATCATACTATGGTGCTTAGCATATACATTATGTTTCTGCAAATGATAGTAGCTAATTAGCTTGTTCTTCATGTAACTTCCATAGCTTTTTTGTTTTTGGGGGGTGGGGCGGGGGCGATGAAACGGTTCTAAGTAAAATTTTGAGCTACTAATAAGAGCTGAAAGAACCCTTGAGTAGTTGGTCCATGTTCATTTGTTACATTTAGAGTTACTAATCAGAGCTTGCACACTGTAAGTAATTTTTTTTTTAATCATGTAGCCGTCCAGTTAATATTCCTTTTGGTGCTACACTTTTCTGCCTTGAATGATATTTGTCCATCATTATAAATTTCTTTCAAAAATGTATTGTGGTGCAAGTTCTCCAATAGCTATTAGTTCATCATAAGCTTAAAATCGTACTGAATTTACCAGTACTCGCGAGCAGTATACTTATTAGAATATCAAGTGAATATGTGTCTACATTTTCCACATCTAGATTCATTATATTTGAATTTAATGAAAATCATATCGAGTATCCGATAGGAAACTTCAGTATATTCTGTGATTAGTTACCTACCATATTGTGTACATAGTCAATGACTCCGAGCAACTCTAGGACATTGTTGATCAAGTCAATGAGAAGAAGCCTTTCTATTCTCACAATATTGAATTTAGCTTCACTTGATCACAAGATAGCTCTTTTGTTGAATTTTACAATGTACTGTTCGTTACTTGGCGGAATTACTGTTTCATCTTACCATTTGTTGTTCTTGGTTCAGATTTCATCTTACCATTTGGTGTGAGATGAATGAAAGTGTTTACAATCAACCATCATCTTTTCCCCAATTCCTAAGTGAATTGTTATTCAAACTTGAAGTTTGTGCTCTTGTTTTGCTTCTCCATGTTGAGCAAAGTGCAAGGCGGTGAATTGCCTCATCTGTTATACATGTAAGCTAAATTTAGATGCTCATTGCCCTATGGTGTAGTCAGTATGGAACATGTAGGTAGTATTTCTCTAAGGTGTCGAGTCCAGTTTGCGTTCATCTCAACTATTGCTACCTCAAATCAAACATGTTTGTAGTTGAAGTTGTATGCCCAGCCAATTTGATCAATCAAATCTCGAACTGTTTGATCAAAGAACAATCTGCAAAAATAAAATAAAATAGAGGGTGTGTCTGTAGCCTCCATCTGCAGCTAACCAAAGAACAAATCTATGTCTACATTTGTCCATACAAGATTGTTTACCCTTCATCTGATGTGAGCACCAATAAGTCTATTATAACTACTCCATTTGTTATAGAATAGTTCTCAATCATTCGTGATTGAAAATGATAACTAAATGCAGAAATTGTTAAAAGAAGTTCGAAAATCTATATATGAAACCACGTTTTATATTTATTAGATGAGATCAAGTTAAAAGACACGTTGAGAGCCTTAAAAACACCCTCTATTTTGACTAACTAAACTTAGATATACTCGTAATTTAAGCACCCTCTACTTTGACTAACTAAATTTAGATATACTTCTGATTTAGCACATGTCATAATAACCTCATATTCTTGTAAAAATATTAGACTCTTAATAAACAATCAAAGACAAGAACGTTTTAATTTTTTTTTTGGAAAATAGGGTCTGATATACATTTCTACTTTGTCATTTAGAACTGATATAACCCTTGTCATGAAAGTGACTCATATATACTTGTACTTATGAACAGATGACTCACATATACCCTTTTTCTCTAAACGGAGATGAAAAAAATATAATTTTAATCTAACTTTTTATTAATTTTTCTAAAAAATATAATCTCATATGAGTAAATTTAATCCTCATCAAACATATTTTTTAACTTTTTTTTGTTTCAATAACTAATTTAGAATTATTATTTTGATAATTAAATTTATTTATGTTTTACTAATATTCTTGTAAAATTTATCGTAGATGACCAAAATTTTTTCCTCGAATACAAAAATTAAATTACAATATAGACAAAAAAAATATTTTAAATTTTTTTTCTTTAAACTAAGGAATGAAGGAAAAAAATAAAATAAACTCAAATAATTATAATAAAAGAAGTCAAAAAATAATTTATGTATGAAAAAAATTAAAATATATCCTGAACTTTGATAGAAGAATCATATATATTCTTAAATATTTTTTTTAAAAATTAAAAATAATAAAAATAAATTTTAAACTAATTTTTTAAGTTCAGTTAAATAAAGGATATATGTGAATCATTTTATAACGACAGAATATATATGAACCGTTTGTATAACTCTAAATAACAAAGTTCGGTATATCAACCTTTTCCTTTTCTTTTTTTTACAAAGTAAAGTATACATAAACTTCCGTTGATTTGGTATACTCTTCAAATTGCAAAAGAAATGCTTATCAGAGCGAAAGCCATAGCTGTATTTACTCACAGCTCCATATTTCATTGCAATGGCTTTGGAGACCTCTTTTCCTCCTTCAATTTCAGATATCAGTATCTCTACTCAACAACCGCAGCTCCTGCCCCAACCCATTTCTTGGTTAAATACCTTGTTGATTCTCTCGGATTCTCCAATGAAGAAGCTGCATCTACATCCTCCAAGGTAACTTCACGTAAAAACTTAAAGAATCCTGATTTAGTCATCAATTTCTTGAAACAAACTGGATTCGACAACACCCAGATGAAAACAATGGTTTCTAGTGTTCCCAAATTACTATTTCGTGATGTTTCCAAAACCCTAAAACCCAAATTTCAGTGCCTTATGGATCTGGGATTATCCGGGTCGGACCTGGTGGATGTAATTGCTAAAGATTCACAAATTGTTGATAGAGGTTTAGATACTCATTTGAGACCTACCATTGATCTCCTGAGGAGGGTTTTGGGTAGTAACGAAAATGTAGTTAAGGCGTTAAGGAGATTTCCTTGGCTGCTTTCTTTTCGTGCTCATCATACTATTGAGACTAATATATTGTTGTTGAAAAACTATGGTGTTCCTGATGAGAGAATTAAAAAACTCATGCTTAGAAATCCCAGTTATTTTGCTCAAAATCCTGAGAGGATTAAAAGTTTGTTGCATAGGATGGAGAACGATTTTCGAGTCCCACGGGATTCCTCTAGTTTTCTTTATGGATGTCAAGTGTTAAACTCATTAAACAAGTCTAAGTTGGAAAAGAAATTTGGAATCTTTAGGAGTTTTGGATGGTCTGATGATGATATACTCAAGATGTTCAGGAAGCTACCTTTTTGTGTTGGCCTCTCGGAAGTTAGAATTCATAAAGCACTGAATCTTTTCATGAAGGAACTTGGTATTGGAACTGCTTACTTGGTTTCTCATCCTGCAATATTGGTCTTCAGTATGGAAAAAAGGGTGGTACCTCGGATGCAAGTATTGGATATTTTGGACGAAAAGAAGGTTGAGAGGAGAAAGTTGGATCTCTATTATGCTCTGAGCTTAAATGAGACAAGATTCATAGATTATTTTGTGCAGCCCTACAAGGATCAGATGCCTGATTTGTATGAACAGCTCAAGAAAATTGTGGCTCCTTTATAGATTTTGTTTATTTTTGACACCAAAAGGTGCTGAGATCTTTCTCAGTTTTCAGTTCTAGTTCATTACATGTATTGCTTTTCTGTTTTCAGTTTGTATTCTGAAAACACAGTCAGTGTTGACGAGAAGTCTGAACTGCTGTAGGCTATATGCAAAAATCAATCTTGCAATTTGAAGCTGATTGGATTCGACAGATCTTGTTGATAACTAATTCCGTTTGGCAGTTACCGTTACAATCAGGTTTGTTCCATAAGACATGAGTGAGTCAAATACTTCTGTGACAACATTGGTTTATCTGATGTAAGGTCCTGATGTTCTTCTATTCTCTCTGAATTTGATCCTATAAAATTTTGCATTGAGTTATTTGCTAGTCTATCCATTTGTAAGAACTTGATGGTTAGTTAGTTCGTTAGGTCCTTCCTTTTACTAATGATTAACGTCTAAAGAATATTTTCTTGTACCTTATCCTAGACGTTAAAGCTTTAGTCTTTGTCATATAAAGAATGTGAAGTTGAACATTCTTTTTCCTTTCATACTTTCTAGTCCTTGAAATGATCGATTTAACTCTTATTTAGTCTTGGAAGCTAATTAGTTGGGAAGTTTAATTTGAGTTGGGAGAATCACAACCTCTATGGTTTGAGGTATCTGTCTGAAATGGAGATCAAAATCAGGGAAACTATAGTGTTTTTTCTCTCTCGTGACAATGGTGTTTGAGCAAGCTGAAGATCTATCCAAAACAACCTCAGTACCTGCTTAGGTAGGGGTAACGTCTGCGTATTATACTAGGTATGCTGTTGTTGGTATTTAGGTAAGCTTGCCATAACTTCAACTGTTTATATATATATATATATATATATATATATTAATAATAATAATGGCTAATTTAGACAAAAAAATTCATTGCTGGCAGAGTTGGAATTAGGATTAGAAATTTATGAATTATATCTATCTGTTTTAAATTGTCGGATCTTAAGTAATAATCAGTACATATCAAATCAGTTTCTTACCATTAGTCAATCACACTTTGTCCAAAAAAATTTCTAGCCTTTATTGCACAATTTACATTTTAAATAGGTTGATTTTTACTTTTTTTTGCCTCAGCAATCGATCTTATTTTTAGTAGTGCGTAAGTTTTTTAAGAATACACTTACGTAACTCTTGAAATATTAAAAGCTAAAATGAAAATATAAATTTATGCTCCACGAAAAAATTATTTGATGACCCGTTTTTCTACTTTGAAACAAGTTTGGAATAATGGTGTAAAGTGTAAACCTGTTTTTCTACTTTAGCTAGCGTTTGGCCATAGATTTTCAAATATTTTTGACAAATATTATTTGAGAAAATTTGGTGAAATTTTACCATGTGTTTGGCATAGGATTTGGAAATTATATTTCACCTTTTTAGAAAAATATGATTTATACCCATAAGTTTTAAAAACTATCAAAACTAACTATAGGTTTGTATTACAAGTCAATTGGATGTTCGTTACAACAATAACAATAGTGTCCATGACACTAGAGCAATGCTGTAATTTAGAGTGAGTGCAACAAACATCATTCCATACATCGTAAAGTATACAAAACACGTGATTTTGTTACCTTGAGCCAATTTTTCATCATTTTCATCAACAATCAAATCATTATTTAATATTCAGTAAATATTTCATCACTATTTTGGTTTTCCACGTAAAAGATTATGTAATACAACGCAAGCAACTACTATAGAGGGTGTTTTTGTAAAAGATAAAAGTTTGAGGTAAGAATTTAATTTTCAAAAGATCCAAAATAATGAGATTTGGCCCAAATATTAGAAAAAAACTTGTATTTGAGAATTTGGGATATTTGCCAAAAATATTTGCCAAATAATGGCAAATTGTATGGACAAACATTATTTGCCATTTTTTTCCAAATATTATTTGGGAAATCTCATTGCTTATGTGTTATTTTCTTTGTTCTTTTTTATTTGTCGTCCTTATTAAAAATAGATAGTTTTTAATATTTATCATTTCACAAAATTATAATGATAATATTGTTCTTATTTTACCCTTTGAAAGTTATTAGCCTTGAAGCTATACATTTGCCCATATATAGAAAACTTAAATAATTAATCTATTTTCATTGGTCAAATTAGTTAATTAAAGTAAATTACTCCTTCGTTTGAAAACTTGACTTCAAGATAACACTAAATGAGAGTACAATAGTAATTTCACTCAACATTTTAAGAGACGAGAAATCTAAAATGATGACATATAAATAGGAACGGAGAGAGTATGTACAAAGAAAACATTCTAATTATTTCTTATAGTGATAATTAAAATTTTTTATCTATCATGTTCCATGCATATTGGATATTTTATGATGGTTGGTATTGAGAATTACGTTATAGATACTTCATTAACACATATTTATACTTAGAAAGAAAAAAAAAACTTGTCTCTCTACATACATTTCTTGTTTTACATTACTACTTTAAGCTACTTCTTTTTATAATATTATGAGCTTAATTTTGTCAAATTAATTGTTACTCGACTCGACTTGTTTGGTATTTTTTTCTCTCTCTTGTAATATAATCTCAAAGAGATTCAAAATTGAAAAATTGTACTTGGTATAGATTTATTCTTGCAGGTGCAGTAAATTAATAAGACATGAAACATGGGAGGAGGGAAAATATACATTAATTAAAGGCATGCATGAAAAAGAAAATTTATAAATGCTCAAACTTCATTTATTCCAAAGTTCAGACCTTCACGTTTTACCAGACCCTTTCTTCAATGATCTTCTATTTGTGTCTTTTGCCTTATACTAACTTTGACGAAACATAAAAATTGTGAATATAAATACAGAGTAGTTAAATTAGGTTTTAGACTTAATTCACACCCTAAAAGATAGATCTAAGGGAGAAAGACAGTCCAAACCTTATAAAGAGTCCATTCATTGCTTAACATATGGTGCATGAACAATTTTGATATTGGAGACCCCATCATCGGGTGAGACGGATCCTGCTCTGATACTATGTTAAATTATATTTTAGGCCTAACTCACACTCCAAAAATTAGCTCAAAAAAAGAAGGATTGCCCAGACCTTGTAAGGAATTCACCTATCTCATTAACCATTGGTAAAGTTTGAATACTGGCATTTTCTAGTCCTTGAATAATTAATATACATTCAAATTTAAAATAAGAATAAAAATCACAATTAGCTGATCCATAAATTAAAAAAAAAAACAGCTAGTTCTACATAGTTTAATTATAGGCCGTATTTTTTATTTTGAAATCTTAGACTATGACGACAGCTAGTTCTACATAGTTTAATTATAGGCCGTATTTTTTATTTTGAAATCTTAGACTATGACGAATTAATAAATAATATGTTTCAAAACCTTAAATTCTTTTCTAAATAAAGCTTGTGTACGTTTTGATCAAAACCTGCCTAGAACGAGCTATAGTTAAGTGAAGTTGGTGATTTTTTCTTGTTTTGTTTTTAGTAATAGTAGTTGAGAATACAATTAGATAATAAAAATGTATTTTCTCTAATAGCTTGAGTTTTTAGATTAAATTCGATGAGACGATTATTCTAATTAACATGGCATCAGAGCAAATAAAGGTCCTGAGATTGCATCTCACTGTTACCTATATCAAAAGAAATTTCCACATATTTGACCAATAAAAAAAGAATCAGATCCGCACTTATAACTTAAAATTCATTCTTCTTTAGATATCCATTTTATCCTTTTTCTTGCTACTATAACTTTTTTTTTAAATAAAATTTATTTGTACACCTAGAGGGATTAAACCTGTGAATTTTTGAAAATAAAATAGGCGTGTATCATGTGAAGTTCATCAGGTGTACAATATCCTACATTTATTAAAATCACCCCACTTTCATTTCGAATTTCATTATATTTTCCCTTATATATATAGTCCACAAGTTTGGTCCAATATTTTCCTTCACACATCCATCTTCCAACTATTTATTAGTTAATATTTTTTTAAAATAAAAAAATATTGTTTGCACCAAATTTTAAAGATTCTTAAAAGAATATGGTGAATACATTTGGAATTTTGAGTGTTTCATTAGTAACTCTTGTTTTAATGTTGTTGGTTGACTCTAGCCAAAGCCTATCATTGTAAGTGCCAACCTATGCTTTATCCTATCTTATTTTCAAATATAATAAAAAACAAGGAGAGATAGGAGGAAAAAAAATATGCGTGTGTATAATATATATATATATATATATATATATATATATATATATATTTTCTAAAAGTATACTAGTTTGAGCAGAAAATAATACTAGGTATGAGCTTTCTTATGAAGAGTTACACATCGAGGATTAATTTAAGGGATGAGTGGTCTCTTTAATATGAGTTGAACAATTCTGTCCTCATAAGCTAACTTTAGAGGTTAAGTTAAATCCATTTTTTTTCTTTATATGTTATTAATGCTCGTTATTGGGCCCTCATTTAAATTGTTCAGGTACCATATGTTCTTTGTAGGATTGAATTAGCGATCTAAGAATCAAATCTTATCAACAAAGTAAAAATTTCTCGATAGTCAATCAACTAAACTGTTAAGTTTCCCTGATAAGCATATATCCAATCATCCATTTTTTGTAAAATAAATTATATAATAAAAGTGTATATCTCAATTTAGTTTTTTTTTTTTTAAAAAAATTAGCATAGACACAATTGCTAGTACTTACACAAAAACATTAATGTTGCAATTGATGCCTTTTGCTATGTGCGTAAATAAATGTTGTCTCCTTATATAAATTTCAGTTTCCTATCATGGCAAAGGAACATACAAGGACAATCAAAACCATGTCCACCTTAAGGTAATTTATTACTTCTCCTCCCGTTCGTTTCAAAATAAGTGATGTTTTTAATTTGTCAATCATTTATAAAACAATTTTGACAAATTGAATTGCAGGAAGAAAAAAAAGGAGATCATGATGTGTTAGGAATGGAGATGTATCCAACAGGATCAAGTTTACCAGATTGTTCTCATGCTTGTGGACCTTGTTTCCCTTGTAAGAGAGTAATGGTGAGCTTTGCATGCTCCATTGCTGAATCTTGTCCCATTGTCTACAGGTGTATGTGTAGAGGCAAATATTACCATGTCCCTTCCAATTGATCTTATCTCTCGGACGATCAGATCAGAGTCGCCATTCAAAATTCTAAGTTTTATTTAATTTCAACCACTAGTCATGATAATTTATGTTTATTAATTATGGAGTACTAGCTAGCTAGTCTTATGCAATGTTGCATTTGGATTATTGTGCCTCATTTGATTTCCTTCAAGATTTTGGTAGTGTTATTGTAAATAGGAGGAATTGTAAGAGTTTTGTAGGCTTAGTTGTTAAGTGAAGTAATTTAGAATGTTCTTTGTTTAATTTCTTCCAAATTTTTTTTACTTCGTTTTGTATGGTTCCGGAGCATAATTAGCTCTCTAGTACAAGTATCTTGTTACGATATCACTCTAGTCACTAGCCTGTCTTCAATATCTCCCATCATATCATTAAAGTAACAACTTCGGCATGACCAACTCCCATAGTGTGACGAGCAATACCCCAAAACAAATTCACAACAAAAAAAAATAAGCTATTTCACTTTGTATATGAAATAAAATAATCTCAAAATTATTTAATATCTATAATTAAATTTAAAATAAAATAATCACAGGTACATTCAATTTGACAACTTTAAACAATGCTTATATTTTTTCCCTTATTCCAAATAGCCCTTTAATTATTCAACTTTAAAAAAGGTTTTTCTTTTTTTTTTTAAAAAAAATTGATTAATTAATGATAGTGATCAGCCAAAATTAATTATTTTTATTAAATAATAAATGTTTGTAATACATAACAGTTGGGGATCCGTGGCGCAATGGTAGCGCGTCTGACTCCAGATCAGAAGGTTGCGTGTTCGATTCACGTCGGGTTCAATCTCCTGATCCCAATCGGTTCCCTCCTCTTTTTATTTTTTTTAATTACTTAATTTTAAATTAATCTATCATTTGTTTTTGTAATTTTAGTTTTTATTTGATTATACTTAATTAATTTTTTTTTATCGTTTTCATTAAAGTTAATTTGTTTGCTACCTACTTACACAAACAAAGAGCATATTGCCGGCGGCAAAAGCTGACCAAACGGCTGCCGGAAACTGGCGTTTGTTAATTATTAAGTATTCAAATTAAAATTAGATATAAAAAATGAATATTTTTAGTACTAATATATATTTATGCCACCAAATTCTCCATATACAGAAATTCTTCTCAACTACCTTTCGAGCAGGTAACAATTTTTTTACTGAGTTTTTTTTTTCGGCTAACAATTTGGGAATATTAAGATTTTGGGTATTCAATTTTTGTAAATTTAGGGCTTTTTTGTTATGAGAGATAAAGTATAGGTAATTATAGGATTAATTTTAGGATGAGTTTATTCATGTTTGGTTAGTGATAAAATTTTGCCCTTTTCATTTAGCATTTGAATTTTTTTGTAAAATGAATTTTTTTGTATGATTGATTTTGAAGAAACATATCAAAGTGTTGTTAAATCTCAGTTCTTTGATCTAAGCCTCAAGTCTATGGGTGATTTAGAATTTTCAACGAGGGATTTACGTAATATGGAGGAGTAAACACATGATTGGTTATATGGCAGGTTCTCGGGTTTAACCATGTAGAAATAAAGTTTGTTTCCGCTAAAGGGGGATTCAGATGAACCCTTGGTCCTACCTGGTTTCGCCCTTGGAGTTGGTGTACTTGATGTTCGATGTGTAGCATGTTTGTTTCATTGTCCGGTCATATTAGCCGATCAATCATAATTGCATTTGTCAATGAATTAGTATCTCTTTCTTTACCATTTAATTAGAATATTGTTATGTAACTCTAGGGTTAAATTATATTGGAAAATTACCTGTTATAGGATGTTTTTGGTGACTGCTGATTGATTATATGACAAGTTCTCAAGTTTTTATCTTATCTAATTGAATGACTAAATGAATTATTTTTGTCAAGTTTCGGAATGGATGCAGTTGATGATGCTAATCAGTTACAAGAAACACCAAAAAATGAAGTTATGTCCTTCTTCGAGTCAACTCCTTTACTAGAGGATGCTGCTGAAATTGAGAAAAGCTTGAAGGAATTCGTTGATCGCAATACTTCATCATCAGGCAATTGTTATTTCTTTAGTTATCAACATCTCATAGATTTTAATCTCTTAATTCTTTGTTCTTCGAAATAGATGCCACTTGACTTTATTTTTTGTCTCCGTCTTCAGTGAATGGAAAAACAAACAGGGTAGTATGTATTACTTCAGGTGGTACAACTGTTCCTTTGGAAAAGCAATGTGTTCGCTATATTGACAACTTTAGCTCTGGTCATAGAGGGGCTACATCCACAGAGTATATCCCGAATACTATGCTTAGATGCTTTTCACACACTTGAATTCACATACATTTGATGTTCAAAATGAAAATGTAAATGCAGATACTTTCTGAAGGCCGGTTATTCTGTAGTCTTTCTCTACCGAAGGTTTGTTCTTCAAGTGCCAAGTTAATTTATTCGATTATTGTGATTTTGATTTTAGACTAGTAACACCATGAAATATGCAGAGGGTCATGCCAACCATTTTGTAGTACTCTGCCTGATGATCCGCTGCTAGAGTGCTTTAGTGTTGCTGATGATTCAAGTATTGAAGGTCTATAGTTCTTATATTTTTACATTCAATATTGATGCATGTACTACGTTTCTATTCACCAAATCATTCTAGACGACCTTATCTTATTTTATTTTTTATTCTCTGTAAGTGCTACTTGTACACTCTATTAGTTATGCTAATTTCTAATGATGTTCCATCTTAACATCTACATCCCTACGATACTGATCTTGTGAAGATATTAAACTTTAAATGCCTATGTTACACATATCCTTCAATTAACACCAATGACGTGTATTCACCAAAATGACACCAATGTCAGTGACACCTATACCACCAAGATCTTTGAACTTCAAATCTCTTAGTAGTTTCGTTGATTATCACCATATTATCTACAAATAGCATGTACCATGAGATTATCTATTATTAGTAGCTCATTCATACGTAGGTAAGCAAGAATGCGATCAATTCAAAATCCCAATGTAAATCAACGGAAATGGGAATAGGTAAGCACATATTGTCAAAGCTTGACATTGGGTTTTTTTCAGGCCGCATTTTTAGTTTTTATCTTAGTTTTATACTCTTTAAAGGCTTATCCATCTTCAGATATTTTGGTAACTTTACATATTACTAACTTGGGAAAGATCTTTGATGTTCTGAGTATTTTGTATCGCAGTGGATTTGTTGAGCAATTCACGCTTTTCCAATCTAATGAGCATTTTTCTGTTGCACTATTTTTTAGTGGATGCATTGCATGCTGAAACGGTGAAGAGAGCGATTACTGAAAGTCTCACTGTATGGTTATTACTGATTTTTAATTTTCGTCTTATTTTTGTGTGTTCTTACAGTTATTCCTATTAGTCTTTAACAGTAAGAATTTACTATTTGCAGGCAGTTGCTGAGGGCATCCTGTTGAAACTTCCATTTACAACAATTTTCGAGTATTTGCAGGTTTAAGTTAAATAGATCAGTGAAATTTGCTTTACTGTTAAATCAATGTCGTATGAGCATTTTAGTTCGCTTTGTGGAGGCTGGTAGCACTTCGATTAATGTTTATTTGGTCACTGGCAGATTCTACAGCTAATTTCTGTGTCTTTGAGGGACTTCGGGCCTAGTGCTATTTTTTTTCTGGCAGCTGCAGTTTCTGATTTTTATGTTCCGTGGAAAAACATGGTAATCGTTTATGTTCTTCAATTTATCTCTCTTTTTTTCTTATTGCTTTGTGAATTATACTTTTCCTTCTTTTCTGTCTTCGAGTGCCCTCAATCATTATGTTGCAACTGATAGTTATATAACATGTCATCTTAATCAACTTATAAAAAAGAGTTGTATCTACCGTTTCCTCTAAATCTTGTCTATTTGTTTTATGTTACCTCTTCTTCACAGGCATTACATAAAATCCAGTCGGCATCTGGTCCTCTGGATATACGACTCGCCCAAGTACCAAAGATGCTTTCCGTGCTTAGGAATGAATGGGCGCCAATGGCCTTCCACATATCGTTTAAGGTTGGTGAATCATCTTGTATTGTTTGGTAAAGTTACGAAATTTATACTGTCTTCGAGAAAAAAGTTCTCTACTTGTAAAGAAGTGGTGACTTGAATTTCTATGTCAAAGCTTCATTTGCTAGGAAGTATAAACAACAAACGTACCCAGTATAATCTCACTAGTGAGATCGGGGTAATAGTTTCATTACTGAATTCCAATATCTATTATTTGACAGCTAGAAACAGACACAGATATCCTTTTAGCAAAGGCTAATATGGCCCTCGAAAAATACAAGATGCATATGGTGATAGCTAACGAACTATCAACCCGTAAAGAGGAAGTAATAGTTGTCACTGAGCAGGAAAAAGTCACAGTTCGTAGGGACAGCACTCGTGCAGGGGCTGAAGTCGAGTCTCCGTTGGTTGAGCTTGTTGTTGATAGACACTCAACATATATCAAGAAGTTCGATGCGTAACAAATATGGGCGGATCACTGAAATATGGAGGTACAAACTTACATTTCAGTAAGGAAAAGTAGTAAAAACTGAGAGAGTGTTTCTTCAGCTTGTTTCATTATTTATTGACAATCTGTGTTTGTTTTTCCCTTTTTAGTTGAATGTCTACCCAGTGCTTTATTTGTCTGATTCGATATTAGAAGTATATGTCAGCAACTTAAACCTGAATTCCTTAAGAAAATTATTCTCGTTAAATATCTGAGATAATAAAATATATCATTTCAGAGATTTTACAATTTTAAAAAATTAAATCCAAAATCAAAATCAAGTAAAAATTGAGTTAATTTGATATTTGAATTGATTTGTAATCAAATTGTTACACTCTCTCTGTTCCATTTTATCTGATACTTTTTATTTTTAATTTATACCTAAAAGAATATTATCATTTTATTATTAAAAATTACTTTAGCTCTACAATTCTCCTTATACCATTAATTAAACTCTGTGTAGAAAATTTTTTATACAGCAAAGTTATATTATAGTTAACCGTTTTTCAATATTGTTGACATGAGTATCCAAAATCATAATGCTTGTTTTAGTTTGACTTATTTTTGAATATAAATAAATAAAAGAAACAAGGATACCAATTATCAAAAGTATTAAAAATTTATTTTGAAAAACATTATAAATAGCAATCTAATCCGCATTACCTCTCCAAATTTATTGATGATTCAATCAAATCACATAAATTATTCATATAATTCTTTGTTTTATTTCTGATTCAATCTTTTGCATAATTCGATGAATTTTAAAGCTTGCATAACAAAAACTAAAAATATTAACAACTTTAGACAATATAATTTTTTTTACGTCATCTCCCAATCCATGTAATGGAGGAAGGAAACAACCAAATTAAAAGTCAAATAAAATAGAAAGAAATTACAGATTTTTAGTACATGATTTCAATGTATTTTTCTATTGTAAAGGAAAAATTAGAGAAATCATATACTTTTAAGATAAAATTACTATCTATCCCTTAAATGTTTATAATTATAAAAATTTATCAAAATGGATACAATAATATAAGCGTTGATACATTAATCTAATGAACGAGATACATTAATCTGATACGCGAGATACACTAATATGGTGCGCGAGGTACATTTTATACATGATACACTAATCTTATGTGCAAGATACACTAATATGATGCACGAGATACACTAATATGATGCGCGAGATACACTAATATGATGCGCGAGGTATATTTTATACATAATACACTAATCCGCGAGATGCATTAATTTGATGCGAAAAATGAGAGATTTTGAAAATTTGTAAAGCTTAGGGGGGATAATGATAATAAGTAAACTAAAAGATGGAATTTCCGTAGTTAAATCTATTTTAAATATATTCAGTCAATTCAATTTGTCAATATTAATAGTAATTTACTAGGACAAAATAAAACCTAATATGTCCAACTATATTAAATTTGAACGGGTTATTGATCCGCTCCTTAATAGTTCAATCCATTTCAACCTATTAAAAGTTGAGTTTGATATATAATTTGAATTTGTTGAATTTGATATGTTATATATAAATATTAAAAGGAGAACTTTTATATATAGCCAGTCAAAAATTATAATTATAGTCAATATCTATAGTTTGTTAATTACGATTTGTAGCTACATGTTAAAGGGAGGAGAGAGACGAGCGAGAGAGGGAAGAGAGGCGAGCGACAGAGAGCAGACAATTAGAAGAATTGTATATGTATATCTGTCGAATTATTATATTATGTAACTAATATAGCTACAACAAAAATAACTTTTAGCAACAAGAAATAACATATTAAGAAAGAGTGCTAAAGTCTTTACCGACATCAGTTAAGTGCCATTAGGTCCAATGTCGCTAAAGGTTTTAGGAAGGACATATACATAGAGTGTTAATTCCCGCTAAAAATACATATTTAACGGCAATTGAACTATTGTCATTAATTTATTGCCGCTAAAGATTATTTTTTATGTAGTGTATACATATGTACTTGTATATGTGTAACTGATATACATATGTATTTCTATATTTGGCGAGCGAGATCGGGAGAGGGAGAAGAGAGGCGAGCGAGAAAGGACAGAGAGTGGAGAGAGTCAAAATATATATGTATATTAGTCAAAGAATTGTATATATGTAAATGATATACATATGAATTGAGTTGGTTGGCCTGTCATCTGACTTATTACCTAATTCATTTTGACCCACTTCGTATTTTACCAAAACAAATTTGAATTGAGTTGGATTTTAAACTATTTATTATCCTAAACCATTATAACTTCCTAGATTTAACTCAACCTACCCAATTATCACCCTCTACGATTTACCTAAGTAGTAAATTTCTTGTCTCTCTGGGGTTTCGATATGAATTGATGAAAACTTGACAAAATATATTCAAAGTAGTGGACTTTAGTGCCTTTTGTGTCATTAAAGTCGTCTAAATTTTATTTAGCTTTATTTGAGTAGTGAATTCCATTGAAAAAAAGGACATAATTGTGGTCAACCTATATTTATATTTGTATTACCATGTTTATCATTTTCAAATGATCATGAAATGGAAAAAATTGTCCTATAATTAACTTGAAAGGAGCATTAACTTAAACAATTTTTTGAACATATACAAAACAACAATTCGTATTAGGAGACAATTTAGTTTCTAACGTTTCTCTACGTTACACTGAATATCACCTATATATTTTCTACATATAATAGTTCTTGTCGTTATTCAATCTTCGAAGGAGGGGTGGTATAATTGGGAGAAAATTTTAGAAATAGTAACGATAATAGATATAATAGGACTTTAGAGCTATAATTTTTGTAATTGTGCTTTATAGCAATAGCTTTGTCTGCTATGGAGATTGGAGACTGTGGTTTTTATTTTTCGCTAACCCCTTGCAAAGGGTAAGTACATACAAATAGAGGATGCAATTTATATATGAAAGGATATATTTCACTTGTCCATTTGTATATATATTTCGCTTGTGAATAACAAACGTGGTAGCTAGTAAGTATATATAAATTATGTATTTATACATTTAAGAATATTTCTGAACTTCGTTTGTATATTTTGCTTGTCAATATACAAACATGATAACTTATCATGAAATTTTCATAAATTATATATCAATAGCTAAAGTAAATATATACGAATTCTAAATTTATATGACGAGAAACTCTCCTGTTCCTGAACTAGGAAAATTCTAAGATTTATACCATTAGGGACTACCAAACTATACAAATCCTTAATTTATGCAATTAAAAAATTGAAGAGAAATTCACAAAACTATATCCACAATTAAATAATCAACGTTATAGCTACATATTACACATCATTCTTTAGATGGTTGCCGTTTTTTTTAGAGATATGCATGAATAATGAAGTAAAAAATGAATAATTAGATTAAACAAATTGTAAATTGCATTTTTTTTTAATTTTAAAAACAGGTTAATAATATAAAATGGATTCGTAAGTTATTGAAAAATGAGTAATTAGATTAAATAGATTGTAAATTACGATTTTTTTTGAAATGTTGGGACTCAAATCCAAATTAAGGCCACTACTATTCTAGTACTTTAGAGAAGTTTCACAAACATTCACTAAATTGAACAAAAATAAATGTAGACAAGTCCACCGATGGAAAAAATTTAATAAATTGATAAATTAAGATGTCATAAAAGACACGTGTCTCAAAATTCTTACTCCTAAACATACTAAGCATCACTTTTTTCCCCTATAAATATTTCTTCACTTATACACTTATAAGCAAAAAAAAATAAACATTACTACTAACAAAAATAAAATAAAATAAAATAAAATAAAAATGAAGCATTTTCCTACTGTTGCTGTCCTACTCTTCGTAGTGCTTCTTCTCTCAACAAATGGTAAGCTAATTAGTACTTTTTTTTAAATTTAATATTTATAAAAGGTGTGAACTCGCTCTAAAAGAATTTAGTTAGTGATTATTAAATTATTATTGTTAATTATTTAACGACCTTTAAAGACACTTTAAAGATTTTTTTGATGTAGTGATAATAATTTTTTAAAAAAGATTATTGATGTATTAATAGTAATGAATTTCTTTTACATCTTTCTAGTTATGGCAGTGAAGTCTTTGTTAAAGAAGTCTAGATTATTAAAATGAGTTGACGGTTTTGTATATTCTAGTGTTTAGATTCATTTAGCTAAAACTAAAAAAAAAAAAAGAGAGAGAGAATGTTTTTGGAAGTTTTTGAAGTGTTGTAGAGTATGCTGATATTTGGTGTTTAAATTTCATTTGAATGCCATGTTATATATAGAAAGATTAAAAAAATTATATAATATGATAAATCAATTGGGGGAATTGTTGATAGTGATACGTGGTTATAACAAAGTTAATATAAATTCCCTTCAATAAAAAATAACTAATCATGTCTTTTTATAAAAAAAAAATTGACACTTTTTTAAATATCTTAATTTTTTAGGTGGTATTTTTATGATCACGAGCGTTTTAGTATATTTAATACAATTTTAATTTAAAATTACGAACTTAAAAAGGTTTTTTTTAAAAAAAAAATCGTTTCTAAGTTGCATTAGGTTTTTTTTTTCCTTGAAACACAAGAAATATCATATTTACATTTGTAATATAAATAATTTCGTTTAGTTAATAATTTTTGTGGATGATTTCAGAAGAAATAGGAGGTGGAATTAGAAAGACGGAGGCAAAACTCTGTCAATATCACAGCGAAACGTTCCATGGGGTGTGTGTGACCGGTAACAATTGCAACCGACACTGTCAGCGAGAAAACTTTGAGGGTGGCCGCTGCCACGGCTTTCGCCATTATCGTTGCGTCTGCTATAGAACTTGTTAATTTCTTTTTATTATTTCGAATGCGTTATAAATAATAATAAATATTGCTTGTAATGTAATGTTATGATGCTCGATTTTCTTAGTTCCCGTTCTCGCTTTTCTTGATCTTCCAAGCTTGAAGCTCGCCTGCTTTATTCTATATGATGTAACTACTATATTATTAATAAATAAGTGATTTGAACCCTTGGTTCAACACTACTATAACGACATTCTACTCTATTTTTGGTCATGTAAAGCGACAACGCCACAATTGTAAGAGTAATACATACCCAATATGCTGCTAAGTGGTTTATACTTTATACTAATAAAGTCATATAACATAGTGCCCAAAGTTCATATATGATGAGACGATATTCATGTGTCACACTTGGTGTCCAAGTATATACAATTATACATGACTTCCGGAGTTCAAAGAAAGTGAAAAATATTAACAAAAATGGTATATGAGTTTTTTTTAATTAAAGTAATTTTGAAATTTAAAGGGCGAAAAATGTTAACAAAAATTTTAAAATGATATATGAAATTTTTAAAAAATTAAAATGGTAAAATTGTTTATCTAAATAAAATTGCTGCAGTGATTTGTATAATTTGTTTTTTTTAAAATTTTTTTAATATACAAAATCTATATATTTGTTAATTACTTTGTTGATTAAATAATTAAAAAGCCATTGAGCTATAATTATCATATTTTAAAGCTTAAGTTATCTGCGATTTCTTAAAGTTGTCCCTATAATTCATTTAGACATTTAAACTAGAACTAGTATCTATTGAACATTTAAATATGCAAAATGTGTATTTATTAAGCACAAAATAGTGATGTAGTAAATAATGTGTACTTTATTTTTCATGGGCGCGTGAAGATGCTCAAATAACATTTTCTATTTTATTTTTTTAAAAAAATATTTTTTTTTGCATCATTGACTTGACATTTTAATTAATTAAGAAATCAAAAACAATCACCTAACGATAAAATAAGGTGATGTTCTATTAGCGTGTTAACGCCGACATAATAGGGTAAAGAAGAAGACGAGAGGGTGGGGGTGGGGGAGTTAATTAGAAGAGTTAATTTTATATTCTTAAATTTTTTTGGATTTTTAAAAAAAACTTTTAAAAAAATTGGATTTGACCGCCACATGTCATTGTTTCATTGGTATATTTGTTATATATTTGTGTTTGTACTTCACCCATTTTTATTTTTCTAGTGATAGACATTTTGTGTCTAATTGATATAATTTTTTTAAGATTAAAGTGTTCAATGAAGGCTGAATTATGCGTACAACTTTAAGGGGTTATGTGACTTAAGCTTATCTCAAATACAAACTCTCATTCACTTAGCCCAAAGATCCAAATAAAAGCTTCACGCATGGCTCTGCTTTTGCTGCATTAAATGGGTAACAGCTGGGAAAATGCAAAATTCTTTTCCTAGCAATGGGAAAGGACCCTAATAATTTGAGTATTATTTTGGTAACTAACATACACATTACAATATGACCAACTCAATATCCGGAGGTACTTCATCTTCAAGATGGAGCTTAGCAAGATTTCTTGCAGTTTGCGCCTTCTTAACGAACTCAGGGTCAAAAGGGAAGTGTGTGGGCAATGGAGTCGTGGGATCAAAGATGGTTTTCTCGACTGCAATAGTATTTTCCAAGAAGAACCTAACAAGTTTCAGCATCCATAATTATAAGTTTTCTAGCCTCACATAAATCTTCAAAAACATCCAACAAAATTATTTCATTGCTTTATAGCCTATATACAACATCCAAATATATTTACACAAATTTCAAATATGTATTTCAAATACTAGTAAATAGCTAAATCCGCCTAAGCAAGCAAAACTATGATAACGTACATTCCCATTTACAGCTCGAGCATTCAAACATAATCTAGTTAAGCTCATCTATCCCAGTTGTCTGATGAACAGATCATTTAGGTAGGTTCACGAGGACGCGCTGCCCAGAGTGAACTCAGAGCACGAAGACGTTGAACATACTCCCCAAAAGCAAGCAAGCCCCTAGCTGCTTGGTGTGTTGTCAAAATAATAGACATTTGTTGTAGTGTTTGCTGTCGAAGGTGATCTGCCTGTTTTCAAATCAAAGCAACAACATTACATTATCATTCAAGAATACTGTATCATTGTTGAGACAGTTCATTTTGTAATGACCTTATGTAGACCTTTCTGTAACAATCATATTCGATACAAAAATTTCAGTATAATGACCAGGTTTTCTTTAGAACTCGATTTTCGTGTTATGTTATGTATAATACATGACATCATTTCGATATAATAGAGGTTTGACAGTGTTTCAAACCTTAGCAGATTTTTAGTTGTAATTGAAGGACCATGTATACTAGTTGAACGTACGCATGGTTTCTTTCAGGATTACACTCTTTATACTCGATTTTAGACAATATTGAATGACCATTGAACTCGTTGAGATACAGAACGACAGCGAAAGTGAGACAAACCTGGTTAACAAAGCTCTCCAATGCTTCTAAATTTTCCATAGAAGAAACCATTTGGGAAGTGTAATTTCCAGCTCCCGTGTTCATATTTAGGATGCTCTGAGCCAGAGTCTGCTGAAGTTTATCCATTCCCTGTGTGAGAGCATCTTCAGCTTGCTGGCAACAGTGTCGCAGATTACACACTTTAATGATTTGCTGATCGGCCAAGGGCTCGAGTTGTGGCATCACCACCTGTGTAAAGTTGATATACAATTGTTACTCTCGCGATCATTAATGTTCTGCTTTCTTATTTGGTGACAAATGAAGTAATATGAAATATACGGTGTCAAATGACCTATACATCAGATAGGATTTGTGCCTAGTTAAGGAAATTTATGCATGAAAAAACGCTACGAGAAACTCAAAAGCAAATGAAGGTAAATAGTTCAAAAAAAGCAGTAAAGTGCACCAGGGACTACATTTATGAGTTCTGATGGCTTGAATCCTCCAATCCAGAGGAAAAAGCGCTCGACGGAAGTTCTCCACACCCCAGACATTAAGTAAAACACGTCAGCTTTGGCGGCATCAGCTTTCATGCGAAAGAGATTGAAATAGTGGCTTAAGACATTTTCTACTAGCAACTGAAGCTCCATATCGCTTACAGGAGACTGCAATATACTCCGCAATTCTGCGTTCTTTTTTTGTTGCTCTTCCACCCAGTGACTGTATTCTATCTCGAATGCAGCTATTCCTGCTTAGGCAGCATTACTTAATTATGAACAAAATCTCCGTATACACTTTAGTAGCATCAAACAGTCAAAGTAAATGGGCTAATATTCTACTCTAATAGCATGAATTATTAGCTAACGAAATGCCAATGAATTAGAGCACACATGGACGCGCTCGTCTTGTTAGTAAAAGGACAATATGACACAGCCTAATGAAACATTTTAAGTAGTCTATACTTTCATGTAATACAAAGTGAGTGTCTCCTTTAAAAGGATGGCTAAAGTATACTTTGATTTTAATGTAGAAATATCAATAGCCTTACGTTTTAATGTAATCACCAATCCAGCTTGGCGACTAGTTTCAACGTCAAATTGGTACATCATTCAACACAGATCAATAGTTAAGCTAGTAATGATGCAAAGATAAAATGCAAAAGAAACTATCGAGTGACAACTCCTCTATCCATATACCTGGATTAATTGTTCCTAATAGTCCCATATTGCTATTTGAACCTAACATGTATAATCCCTGCAATAAGCCGTTTCATGATGTCAAAGACCGTGATGGAATATAAAATCGGAGCACAAATACATATACTAGTTAGTAAGAAACGCGCAAGGAATGATTCCTCTGACCTGCTGTCTAGCTCTCTCGAGCTCCAATTCGAGTTGTGCCAGCTTCAAACGGCTGGTTTCCAGCTGCTGTACATAGGCCTGTGAAAAGGGTGAAGAAAGAAATCAAGAGGAATTTTATGACTAATAGAATTTCCTATAACATGTGCAAGGAAAATTATCAAAAAAACTTCATTTACCTTTTTCCGCATACGGCTTTTACGAGCAGCTTCACGATTTTGCGCTAAACGTCGTTGTACCTGTCATTCATTTGATATGAAAAGGTATAGTATTACATCAGAGGTTAATCTTTCTACTTATGTATCTTGTGATAGGATACATAAACTGAAAAGGAGAGAGTCGGGGCACCGACCTTGTCTGAAGAACTCCTCGGCCCTTGATTATCTCCAGAGCCAGAGGGCATATGTTGTTCACCGGATGTATACCCCGACTACAATAAGCACAGGTAGATATTAGCCTGACAACTCGACTACTAACTTGAATTTTATTAGTTAGAACTAGGAAATATGTTGGTTTACCTTGTCATCTGGCCTATCGTTTGGGTGTGAAACCATACATGCATCAGCACTAGGCATAATGTCACCTCTAAACGCGTCTTCCCACACACTCATCTGGTGAAATGGTTCATATATGCCCATCCTTCTTGTGGGGGCAAATTGAGTTGTTGGAGAAGTCATGTTCATGGCCTGTAAATCAGAATTTCTGCCTGAAATGAATTTAATTTCCATCCAGTACTAAAGAAAAATGATATTGCAGACTAATTTGTTTATCCATTCATCAAATCAAGATCTTCTGGTATTGCAGACTAATTAACAAAGTTCTGTGGGCTACTTTTAAGTGTTCATGACATGTAAAGCATATGGCTTTTAAACAACATATGCACCTTTTCTTTAAGGGAATCATGGACTACTTCTATCTCATATGGAAAGGGTAACGCGGAAGAAATATACGATAGGTAATCAATCGAAAGAGAAACAATGAAATCAACAGAACTGATAAAATGATAAATTATATGAATACTTGGGAACATTCCTCTTTACATACAAACACAAACACACAACAGCAACATGACGATTTACTTGGACTGTCGCCTTTTGAACTCTCAACTCTTACAGAATTTCCAACTATTGCATAATACCAAACAGTAAATGTATCGAAAATGATCCTTTTTATACTTTAGCTAAGTAAAAATTATGATAGACTACGACAACATTAGGTGTTTCTTTTCATCTATTCTACCTTTGGTGGACAGAGTTACTTGCACATGTTACTAGTGGGAAGTGACACGTATTCCATGGAATTAGCCAAGGTGAGCCCCAGCCAGCCTGGACACTACTGGTCTACTGGACACCACAGTTTATCAAGAAAACTAAAAATTGTGGTAAACTATTTTCTTACACA